TAGGTTGGATCAACTGACAGAATCACAGAAAATGATATTTTTAGTAATTTTTATGTGAATTCCGTTCCAAATTCCACTAACGAGGAAAGGTTTAAAGGAAAGATGAATTTTTTAAAGGATTACATGAATATACTTTTAAACCAAAATTAACCTCGAGGTGATTATTCATAAAAAATAAAGGCTGATAGTTTCGAAAGAAACTGTTTGGGGCTGCGTCGGTGGGAGTAACGAAATAATTTGGCTATATCAACAAAGTTGAAATGGTAAACGCTCCGACGAAGGGCTAAAGCTCGAAACGTCAGCTTTTGTAATCGTTACGGTGGCCAATTTACCATTTCAACTTTGTTGATATATCCAAATTATTCATAAATCAGTTTTTCCGACAATTTTTTCTTATGAAAGATGATATTCATTGCGTAGCGAGCGTGGGATAGTTGTAAAAATGCAACTCGTCACAATAATTCAATTCTCATGCGCATTTTACAGTTTTTTTATATAAGTATCCCACCATATCGTTTTCTTACTTTTTAAAGGTAAAACACGACCTCATTATAATGATGCGAGTGAAGGATATTGAATAAAAAAAAAATCCAAGAAAAAAGTCCAAACAAATTTCTATAGAAAACTTTTATGTAGATTACATTTTAGCCAAAGTTATAATCCCAGCTGATGTGTGGGCCCTTTCTTTTTCTCTTAACGGTCTCCAACATTCCTAATACATTTTCTACAGGCATAAAAAGTGATTCCTTTGACTCACTGTCCGGTAAAATCATTTTGTCATCCCACTCTTACCATGAGCTCTCTTGTACCAGAAGCAGGTAATCAATTCACAACCAAGGCATATACGTCTTCCAAGCATTTCAATCATTTTTTTTTCTGCTGTCATACCCTCTTGATTCCATTGAACTCCACCATACATTTCTGTCAAAGCAGATTTAGAGACTGGTGAACTTTGTCATCTCACCTCTGCTCTCTGATGTCAAAAGCAGGTTATTCATCTAACCATATCTTTTTCGTGTATTTCGATGTTAATCTTCTGCTCTCTTCCCTCTTGATTCAATTGTCTTGCAGCAGATTTAGTAATAAGCTGTTATCTGGCCAATAAGAGCACGACCAGGTTTCCATTACAGGACTGCGTAACAATTTCCACAGAATGATAGTTTGCTTTAAATAGAGGACAATTTAAAAGGTAGAGGAGGATCAACGAAAGGTTCCTTTCTGCCAGTACAGGTAAGTTCAATAGTTTGTTGCTTAGTTGTGTTTTTGAACTGGTTAACTATTGGTTGTTATTTGTAAATATTAGATTTCGGCCATAACAGTATCGAAGAAAAGGAGAAAGATCAAGACAAAACATTGCCTTCGGTAAAGGTGCGTCCAAATAACTTATTGAGGGCTATTCATCAGATGGTGTTTGTTGTTTTTGGTAACCTACTCACTAATTGCATCTCACTGTTAATCGTATTTAGTAGGGGCAAATGCTTGGTAACCTGTTCATCTCTCAAAAAGTGCTTTTTTATATCGATAATGTAAGCTATCTTCAGATACCCTAATGTCTTTAAAACACCTCATTTTATTACAGTTAGTAAGAGTTTCATTATGGTGGATTCGATACTAACTATCAACCCAGGCCGAGTTGTTCAAAGCTAGCTTAAGGTAACTCGAGGTTAATGTTAAAATTTGGTCTGATATCTAAAAGATTTAAAGGAAAATTCAATTTAAATTCTCTTGTCTACAATTTAATGATTGGATTTTCTAAAAAGAATAGAGAAAATTTCCCAAAAAGGCTTTTAAACAGAGAAATAAAGAAACCTGGATTAAAATTTAACCGGCTTGGTTAGCGCTAATAGGCCTTCGAACAACTGGGTCCTGATGTATATATCACAAACTAAACACCAATCAAATCTTGACAGCACGTAGGAATTTTTTCTTAGCAACCCACTTTGATTAAACCCTACGCGAGTCTCCTCGGTAGAGTATCAGTAGAACTAGTCCCATTTGGAGTCACGCATCTTTCTTATCTCTATTTTTCTGTTTTTAGGCATGTCTGGAAGAAGATTCTTTTGTCTTGCTTTGATTGGGTTTGCACTCTTGCTAGTGGAGTTTGCAGTGGCTCAAAAGGGTAGGTTATAAGTACGTTAGAGCTTACTACATATAACTTACAACTTCAATGTTCAGTATCATGGCCAGGATCTATGAAAGATAACTTCGATTCTCTTTCAAAATGATCATTGAAATTAGTCAGAAATCTCCCATTTGAGGCTATTATTTCTTACTTTCAGAACGTGCTCGGAATTCATATGGTGTTTCATGTGCGGTTGTCAGACACACCAAACGAGTATCCATGTTCTCTGAAATACATTTGTTGCCTTTTCAAATTCCAAGTGCACTCCCAACCTTAATTTCAGAAGGGAATAGAAAATCACAATTTGCTCAACGTTCTTCTCCACCCTTTGGCCGCTAAAGATTTGAAAAGAAAAAAAACTGTCGAAGTCAAGCTAAATATAGAAGTAGTGATATGAGCGCATAGCTGCTGTCTTTGTCTATGGTGATATCCTTTCACGATGTTATCTTGGTATTTATTGCAGAGTGTCTGTCACTGTTAGACTTTGAGACGGATACACAGGAAAACTGCCTGAAACGTATACCAGAAACGAGAGGGACAATAACATTCCCAGAATCGGTAGCCAAGCTCGGCAAAAGGTCACTGAGATGGGAATCTGGCACCACAGGAGTATCGCGATTAAGGTACAACAGAGGCTCAGGAGCCTCCATCAGCGGAAGTGAACTAAGGCGTGGAGGCGTGAAGATGTGGATCTACAAAGAGACTGCCTCATCGGGAAGGAGTATGCAAGTGAGATTTAGAGACACTGAACGGAAAAACCAAGTTGGTTCATTTAATATTGACTTGGGATTTAAGGGCTGGCGAGGAATATGGGTGTCCTATGAAGAATGCAAACGTGATGCTAACAGCCTCCGCTCTGGGACTAAAATTGATAGAGTTGATTTTGTTTTGAAACATCACGACACAATATACATCGATATCCTTCACTTTGTGAGAGGAATGTCATCTCAGTCTCGCGACAAAATAGTTCCACCTATCACTAGATTCAGGTCACGATATGATTCAAGCAACTTCTGGCAGCAAAGCTATCGCTGGAGTCAGAAGGATCCAACTCCTCTTCCGGAAACGGTCGTCGACTCAAAATCATTGAGTCTCACACACATTGAGAGTCGCTTGAAAAACTGGTATTTCGATCAAAGGGAAACTACCTATGACCTCTCTGGAGAAGCTAAGAAGCGTTGGAATAAACTAGCGAGTAGCATCGACGATGCATATTTGGAATACTATAGACTTGAATTCAGGAGCCTCGACTCAGGAAAGACAGTGATAAGTGCGCCTCCTTTGTTTTGTCGTGGTTGTGACAATGGAACACGAAAGTATTCCTCGACAGATCCCACAAGAAAATTCAGCTTCGTCCAAATGCGTATCATGCTGCCTTTAGCGATAGAATATTTTCTAAAATCCCGCCCCGAAGAAATTTCCCGGACCGTAAGCGAAGAAACCTCTGAGCTGAGCTCTACTACAGCAGTCAATGTCAACCGCGCGATCGTAAGGATTTGTGGAAACAATGGAGACAGGCAGGATGAGTTTCGTAAGTATCTCGAAAGTCTGAGTAAACCTTACACGGAGGACCAAGTACGTAAAATATTGAACAAGGAAAACGAAAACCGCCTCGAGAGAATAATTAAACTGCTTGATTACATTGAAGACCAAGGATGGGCTGATGGGAGTGCAATAGGCTCCCTTGATCATGAAATGAACCGCGGTGGTGCTGGCTACATGCACACACTTTTCTTGCTAAAGGATGCGTTACACGGGGACCCTAAATACAGACCAAGACTTTTGAACTTAATAAATACTGCTAAGTGGTATAATGATTTTGGCGAAGTTTATCAGTCGACGTTCGAGTATAGTGGAACAACGGCTGACAGAATGATCACAATAATGTTGTTTCGGCTCATGATTGTGTTGATAATGCCTGCTGAGTCAGATATGGAAATCAAGGAAAGGCAGAGGGATATGGATGCTTTAAAAAGATGGATGGATAATGCCCTGAGTATCAACAAGGCCTTTGGAGGAGTTATCAAACCTGATTATACCGGCTTTCATCACAAGACATTCTACGCATCTGCATATGCTCCACACGCATATCATACAGCTGCGCAAGTGCAATACCTCCTAGAAGGAACGGACTTTGCACTGTCAGATGAGTCGAAACAAAATTTACGCAAAGCCCTTGAGACATTGAGGCTGGTAGCAGTAAAGTATTCAACACCAAACAGTGTCGGGGGACGTATTGTTGACTATTCCAAAAAGGTTTTGATAAAAATTCTTCCAGCATACGCCTACATCAGTGTTTCACATCCGTCTGGTCCTCTGGCATCGACCCCTGCTTAAGAAGTCTCAGTTCCTGTTGTCGAGAACGCTGGGATGTTTTTACGTTTGTACCAGCCTACGGACGAATTTGTTAAAAAGTACTTGGAAGATGGAACGGTTAACAGGGGAAAATCGTATATGAACAGTCTTGGATCACTGAAAATTATGTCGACCGTAAGTTTATCAACTAAATGTTGCTGAATGCCTACACAGATAGTTGCTTAGCTCAGCCTTTTTGAGAACTAAAACCAGATATTCCTAAAAGTAAACAACAAGGTATTGAACACCACCTCTTTAATTAAAGGGAACTAGATACTTGAATTTCGTGACATTGCAGTTGGTTGTAGGCCCATTTTTTTTTAAGGAATTGATACGGAACAGGTGTAAAGGAGGCTTCAACGAGATGTCTTCCCTTTTTAAGGCAATTCCAATGCAAGGTTTCATCGAGATTGGGCTTTGATTGATTCCTGTCGTAAACATTAAGTAATGGATTACTACTATACTCGAACATAAAATCTTGTTTGTGTGAACCAGAAGGAAGATGCAACAATGATTATGTTGCTGGCTAATGTTCAGGTTTTTGGCAAAATTCACCATTTCGCTGTTAATTGTAACCTTCCTTTCTGCAATACAACACCGCATTGTAGTCCTTTTGAAAATTAATAGAGAGCTTGCGGGCTCATTCGTACCCTTTTCTAAGCTTGTAACAATAGTATTTTGCTTTCCTGTGCAAAGTTAAATTTTGATTTTAAGCAACATTAATGATTTTATGATTTGTTTTCTCGAACATAGGTCTTTTCTAAAGGTACATCTCCTGAGCTCTCTCCTGAAGGTCATTGGTCCAAAAACTTTGCTGCTCTTTCAGTTCATCGTCGTAAGGACTGGGCAGTGACAATAAAAGGCTTTAACCGCTTTGTCTGGGACTTTGAGGGATCTACAAAGGGAAAAAAAGAAAATGTGTTTGGTACCTATCAGAGTCATGGTTCAATGTTAATAGCGAACAGCGAAGAAGCATTGAAGGCTCACGATATAAACAATGGATGGGATTGGACAAAAATACCTGGAGCCACAACGATGACCCTTACTCTTGCTCAGACAAGGGTGAGCAGAGCAAGAAACTTCAGTCCCAACTCCTTTGCTGGAGGAGTTTCCTACAGAGGATTAGAGTCTTTATCCAGTGGACTATTTGGCATGGACTTTAACCAACCAAATTACAGATTTACTTACGCAGACGATCCCAAAATCAATCTCCACTTTAAGAAATCTGTTTTCTTTTTTCAAAACGTGTTGGTCTGTCTGGGAAGCAACATTACCGTAAACAGAGGTCGGGCAACACAAGCGCAAACGACCCTTTTCCAAGACAAACTGATAAGTGACAGCTCGTTCATTAAAGTTGATGATGAGCGAAAAGATCATTCAACTCCTTTTAAAGCCATTACCCCAGTTTTGTCCCCATCTTCTCCGGCAAAGGAATACACAACTCTGGTGGACACCAAGGGCAACAGCTACTACATACCAAGAGCAAGTGCACCCAATCTTAAGGTTCATGTACAAACACAAAACTCGCAAACAGCCTCGGCTAAACCATCTAGTGGCACCTACGGAACTGCCTGGCTTGAGCACAGTGGACGAGATGGAAGCTACGAGTACGCTATTCACATACAGACTCCTTCATATGTAGACTCTGCTGACGATTACTGGAAAATGCAGGAAACTGGCGTAACCGCTAAACTTTACAGGGTTATAAAGCAAGACGATGAGGCTCATGTGGTTCTATTTGAAAGATCTCCTGAACGTAATACCATCCGACGTCCACTCTATGGTTACGTGTTTTTCCAGGCGACGTCATCTATCCCTCTTCCTTCCTGGGGGGTTGTTACAGCAGTGGACAGACAGTGCAGGATCATGGCTGAAGAAACTTTCGAGGAGCTGTATTTAAGCATCAGTTACCCCGACCTTAATTTCCCCGGTTCTAAAATCTTGCGAACCTCCGGCGATGTCGGAGAAGATGAGATGTTTAAAACAGAAAGCAAAGAGATCCAAGTTGAAGTCACCTTGGCACGCACTGTGAGCACTATTCTTCCAGAACTACCCAAGGTACATGGTTCTCCAACTGGCTACGTGCCAATGGTTGAAGTGATCAGAACAGTAACCGAGAAACCAAGCCGAGGAAACAAACTGGTCTTTGCCAATTTGAAGAACGGATTCAGCGTGGAAGTTAAATTGACGAAAATAAATTGTTGATCTATTAGCGGATTAATGTGGTTACTTCTATGTATACACTAACATGTATTTCAAATATTATATGACATATTTGATTGAGGGTTTGATTTAAATAAAAGGAAATACTTATGCTACGCAATGGTAAATTAAAGGAGTTTGCGTTTTTTGTGATGTACTTGAGGATTTGGTTGTTTCTCGCGAATTCATTTCGAAATTTTTTGAGGGACGAAAATTCTTTTTGAATGAGAACATGAACATAATCAGTGTACCAAATGGATGTCGTGAAACTAAAGCAAGTTAAGTTTCTTGAAAATAAGATCTGTATGAGCGTCTTCATTTGACTCGTTTACGATCCTGATAACCTGTTTTGCAAAATGAAGATGCTTCGAAGATTTGTTTCAAAGCTTAATCCAGACCTATTCTAATAAGCACCCCTATCTGGTTTAAGTTATACTGCACTGCTCGAGTACATGTAAATTGAGACATAATCTCTTTATTGCGATCAACCGTGGTTTATCTTCCTTTAATTGCTCACCTAAAGCCTCGTTAAGAAAGAAGTGGCTTTCATCTCAGTCTCTCGATTTTTATGTCCATGTGAGTGCACAGCTCCTTCAAACGACTGCCTGATTTCTTCTAAAAATTTTGTAACGATTGCTTTACTGGTCGTTCTAGCTAGAAAGGACGGGCCGAAATTATTGTGTTTGCATAGGAGAGGCGTGTAAAGAAAGCGCTAAGTGGCTGTTCAGTGGCCGCTCCACCTTTAAGTAAGAGTTTAGGGTTAGGGGAGCTTATCAAGCAAAACCAAATTCGAGGTGGGTGCTTTCTGGAGAGGAAACACTTATGGGAAACGAAGGCACTAAATCGAATCATTACGGTATGCACAGTTTATTCTTCTCCATTCATTCACCGTATCAAGCAGGAATGTGTGTACGTTCACGAGGTTGTCAATCATGTTATTGTTATTTTGGAACGGAAGTTGCTTTTGTCTTCTGGTCGTTGTGAAACCAAATAAAAGCTAGTTAGCAGGGTAATTTTGTGCGTGCGTTTTTAACTAATTTAGCCACATGTTAGAACCAAATCGGCAGTACGTGCCTCTTTGTTTATTTATATCATCTCAAATGGACGTGCCTTCGTAGAATAAGACAATAGATTTTATGTTTGCGGGCATCAATATGCTGGGGGCCAGACTCAAACTTGTTCTAGCTAACCCAAGCCTCCAGGCGAGGGTTTAAATGAACTCTGAGAATAGCCGTAAACATCATTCGTGGCTCAGAAGATTGATTCTCCGTTGAATTATACATTTTCAGACATCATTTGGACTTTGAAAAGATCGTGTATCTTTGCACCGACTGCAAGAAGAGGGCGCGAACAAAGCTAGGGTTTCTCGAATTTAATTGGCTGCTTTTCACCGTATGATTGTTTGATTCTCATCTTTCATTGGCTTATTTTAGCCCGCCATACTCTAATTTTAGCCAGCAAAAACGTATCACGATGCCCGACAAAGTGATAATAATGATTTTAGATAATTCGGGTATGGAGGTGTCATTGACTTAGGAAGAAAAAAACTAGATCTAAGAATTGTAACGATAGATTTAGATTCTTAACTATATGCTGCGTTAGATATTTTCGACTTCCATGTTAAGTTTTTATTTTCATCGACGAAAAACCGTTTCATTGACCTGTCTCCTGGGCTTCTTATTGATGACGACTTGAAAGTCGAAATGAAATGCCTCTTTACCAAGGTTTAAATTCCTTAAAAGTTTTGTCTTTGTTGCATTCAACGAAAGCTCGCTCTAAACCAATTTGATCGTATTCAATTCAAATTTTGCCTTGTTTTCATCCAAAAATAAGATATTATCATTATCCTTATAATATCAAACAGAAAAACATGGTGTATCAGGAAACGAAACTGAATGGATTGATTTTGAACCATGTCTTGCACTATTTTTTCTTAGATTTTGATCATGAAATATCACGTTGAGCCCTAACACTGAGCGAGTTACCGGGGCTTTTAAGAAACTTGTGACCTTGAAAAGTCTGCCTCTCTCTCTAATTTTTCCATCTTCTGGATTGATAAAATTCTGGTGATAACCAGGGCTACAGTTGTTTGTGAACTTACTCTGGGAAGCCATGGCTATGCAACAAAATTCCCTTTTTTCCCAGCAGTTAGGTTACTCTTTGGAAATCATTTGCACAATTTTCTACTTGTAGAAAACAGTTTTGGCGGATTTCACTCGTACTCAAGATATTTTTGATAATAAGGTCAGGTTGTTCTTTCAACCCTAATAAATTGTTTTGGTCTGGAACACAGTTTTCTGCTCTCAAGCTCGGGTAAGATATTGTCTTCATTGCAAAGCTTTCCACCTTACAAAGAAGAGTTTGAAATGTGTAGTCAGATACCCCAAGTTTCATCAGTGGCTTTCACTGAGTTATTCTCTTCGGGATTATTTTGTAGATAGCCTTTCATCTTAAAGTAGGCTATTATTTTTTAGTGTTATCAGAGTTGAGGAAACATTGCATTTTGAATAATTTCACACCATTGAACCAAATTAAGCCCGAAGTAAATACATTTACCCAAAAGGTATTTGGTAACGATTTTCTTTTTTAGAGAAATATGAAACTCATTGTAGTGGCGAGCGTGGGACAGTTACAAAACGTGCGATTCGTTCACGAGGATTCGAATCCCATGCACCTTCCAGTATCGTAATCCTATATAAAAGCGTCCCACCGTTCTGTTCTCTTATATTTTAGATGTGGATCATGATCACACTTTAGTGATTCGAGTGACGGACATTGAATCTAAGCTGTATGTTTAAGGAAAAGTCAAGAAAAGTTTCAGGTAGAATACATCTTAGCCAACCTCATACACTAGGCTGATGTGTAGGTTCTGTTTTCATCTAGTGCTGTCTCTGGACTTTCCCCTACATCTTCACAGACACGAAAATTGGTTGTAGGGTCATAAGAGATCAAAAAGTTTAAGGTGAAAAAATTTTTTTTCCATATAGTAGACAGTGGCTCTAGCCACAAAAAATGATACGAGGGTGGGGGCGGGGGGGATTTGTGCTGGTGAGAGAAACTAAAGTAATATCTCATTGACTATGAGAAGCAGGTTGAACGTTTGGTTAGGAGTTCGCTTGTTAGCTGTCGCTTTTCAGTTCGTTGGCGGTACATTGTTCAAGAGTGATGTTGTCCTCCTTCTAGTCAATGAACTGGAGGTGTACCTATCCCCAAATGAAAATTGCCATCAAATCCGCTTCTTATCGAATCTAGGTCTTAATCATTGGGAGCTTCATCATAAAAAGAATTTGAAAGAGTAAAACGTTTTGGAAATAAAGGTTCTTACTTAAAAGCAGCAGGTTGTCCATTTTTCGTGATCGTTATGGCCAACCCGTGACGTAATTCCTGCTAGTACGCTTTATGATTCCTTGGACTTACAGCATAGTGTTTATTTAGGAATAAATTTTTAATTGTCAACATTTCTCCCATAGCCTGAGCTCTCCTGTAAGCAGGTAATTAATTCGCAACAAAGGCAAACATCTTCCAAGCATTTCAATCATTTTTTTCTGCTGTCATACTCTCCTGATTCTATTGAAGTCTCGTATACAGTCCTATTAAAGTAGATTTAAAGATGAGTAAACTTTGTCACCTCACGCATAAACTCTGCTCTCTAATGTCAGAAGCAGGTTATCGATTTATAATGTCTCTTTCTTGTCATCTCACAAATAAACTCTGCTCTCTGATGTCAGAAGCAGGTTATAGATTTATAACTATGTCTCTTTCTTGCATTTCAATCGTAATTTTCTGCTGTCATACCCTCACGATTCAATTGCCTCACAGGAGATTTAGTAATAATATGTTACACAACCAATCAGAGCACGACCAGATTTCCTTTACTAAAATGTACAACAATTTCCACTGAATGATAGCTTGCTTTAAAAAGAAAAGTGGTTAACTATTGGATACACTTTGTCGATACTAGGTTTCGGCCGAAACAATATCACAGAAAAGGAAGAAGATCGGGAGAAAATATTGCCTTCAG